CAAATATTTAAATCAATTTTTATCAGGATACTTCTTTACTCTTAACCCGTTTAGTGCAGCTGTGCACCCGGGGGTTGGAAAAACCAGCAATGTGTGACCACATTGTGGTCACACCGCGATGAATGTAACAGGTCAACTAGCTATCTAAAAGGATTAAGATTATCTAAGATTCTTACCAAAAAGTCTTAATAGATGGATTCCACCATAAATACTACTCATAGGTTTATTGGGATGTTGCTGGACCAACTGCAACGTAAAAAATAAATATTATTTTTGTTTTTAAATAGAACAAATGAGCACAGATTATAGTATTCAAATACACAGAATAGACAACACATACATCCCCATATTGAGCTCTCTCAAACTTGTATAAAAGTTGTGAACCCAGCATTACATTAAAATAATCCTTGATTCCACGTACAACATCCATTAAGCAGCTTTCCCTAGACAATAAACAAAGGGGGGAAAATTAGATACTGTTTTAAAAGGGACGTTTCCAGTAGAAATAAGCAGACGGTGGGAGAAGCACTTACTTGTTGGGTGTGTTGCTCTTGCTTGATGTTTTCATTTTAACATAGTTATCCAATATCTCATCAACTGTGAGTTTTGAAGGAAGATTAACAAGCTGAAACATAGGAAATACCAAACTCACTAAGTTTTTAAAGAGGAGACTATTATTAACATTTTGATTCTCTCGAAAGTCTACCTTGCGTTGTCTGGCTATGAGATCCCAGTCGTCGACCAGCCAAGGTTTCAATTCGTCAGGCATTTTCACTTTAACTTCTACTTTAGATAGAAACTGTTCTTCCTGGAGAATGGTATAAAAAAGAATAGGGATTAGGAAGTGTGGCAACAAAGGAAAATGAACTAAGATGATGTGATCCCTCGTCTTTTGATAATCTGATAAATGGCTCACCGTCTCTACAGTAGCATCTACTTTGCTTTTCTTTTTCTTCGGTACATCACTTGATGAATCTTGAGATGAGGAAGGTGTAGAAGGTAGACTTTTGTCACCCCCTTTCAGTGTAGGGGTTGACGACCGGCTATCAGAATCTCCATCGTTGCTAGCTTTGGATGCTTTAGCTTTAGGTATAACTTTTTTCTTGCTATTGAAACAAGAATTATAGTTAGTAATATTGCTTTCAATGTCTAGGACTAAAAGTCCTAAGAAAATGTATAAGATTATTTGAAGAGGAACACTTGAACTTACACTGGGTTTGCTGAATGGGCTCGAAGAAGTTCTTTCTTCTTCAGTAGATTCGCTTCATTGTATTTTAAGACACGATCTTCAGGGACCCATTCATCCCAGCTGTGAAGTAAACGAAATAAATTAGGGGTGTGCCATTCTCAACGTCCTTCTTACCAACAAATAACTACACAGAAAATGACTACATGTTGTTGACAGAAGGGATACTCTCACCAAAACAGAAGTTTAAGCAAAATGGCCCCCTCACTGATGACTTACTTTTTATTCCAACCAGCATAATGTATTAAATACTTTATCTCTTTGTCTTTGTCTGATGATAGCTCTAAGCATTTGGCTTCGTAGAGCAGCGGTCCGTGGAAACACAGCACCTTCTCTCCTGAAAATGGATTTGGAAATCAAACACAAGATGTAACCTCAAGGCTAACCTCTCTGCACTTTACAGAAGCAGGTATTTTCTTACAACAACAAGACTCCTGAAAAATTGACACATACCTTGCTTAAACTTGAATACAGTTGGAGCCATTACTGTGGAGATTTAAGCAAAGAAAACTGTCATTTCACGCGAAATGAACACAGCCGAACAACCCAACAACTAACTAGCCGGCAAGAAAGAGCTTATTTGCAGCCTAGTTGTCGTCGCTGTCTCGTGCAAATAGTTGATTTTTGTTGACATTGACAAGAGGTTTTTTGTTTGTTTTTGTGTTATTGGTTACTGAAACCAGGACATTAAAACAACATGCATTAAGGGCATTTCCCTTATAAACTTGATCAGCGTTATGGCAGTTACTGTTATTGATATTATGCACAGTACTGTCTTCAAAAGTTTTTGTTTACGTCTATGTTTACCAGCCCTGAAGGTCTCTGACTGACGTAACGAAGAGCGACGAGTGTGTTTTTTATTTTTATTTTTTAATCAAAAAAGACTGTTGTTTTTGTGTTAAGTGGGTAATCTTATGTTGTCAAATTGATATCTATCTTGAAGAATGCATAGTCCACTAGATCTTGTCTAGCGATCCAACACTCCTTCACGAGCACTGTTTATGAAAACCTAAGAGGTTAAGGACGAAACAAGCCATGTTTGACAGTCCTGAATCCAAGAAAGATGAGTTGCTGGAGCAAGCTCGTGCAGCCCGGATAGAGAGGGTGCTTGAAAAGAAGAGAGGCTATGCAGCTGCTTGTATTCAAGCCCATTTTCGTGGACTGAAAGCAAGAAATGAATTTTCCAAATTGATTCTGTAAGTGAAACTTCTTCCCACGTTTCAATCTGAATAACATTGTTTATTTTGATACTTGCAAAATGGTAACAAGTCCATAAGCATCACATACATTTGTGAATCAATTCAATAGCTTATATTATGTTCCACAGTGATCAGTTTGATGCTGTCATAACTGGAGATCAAGATACTGAAAAGAGACCGCAAGCGCTGCAAGCCTATCAGGTGGCATGTCGTTTTATGCTTGTGTGGAAGAAGGAAAGGGATTTAGAGCGCTTTCTAAGACTCTGCAGGTAATGTGAACTATCATGCTACTTTATGATAAGTAGTTATCATCTTTTTCTTATGGAATACAATCAAATTTTTAATTTTTCTGCAGGTTTCTTGTTGCCAGTTTAGAAAGTGACTCTGCACGGTACAGTTACATGGGAATCGCCTTGAACAAAGAGCACGTAGTGCGCTGGATATCACATATCAAGATAATCCTCACTAGAACTCTGTTGTACATTGATGCTTTGAGACCAGAAAGACCTACTGACAACAAAAGTTTAATGATTTATCTTCATACACTGATAGCATTCACATCTACATCAACTTGGGTTTTGATCAAATCTAAAAATTTGGAAAATCTGAGGCAAGGCTTGAATCATCTCTGCTCTAATATAATGGGCCATCTAGCATCACAGGTAAAAGTGATTGCAGGATCATTGTTGTAATTTTAATTTTTTTACATTTACATTTCTATATATCATTTTTTGAAAAATATTTTTAAATAGGGGCTCTACAAATCACTGCAGTTACTCCTGAAACGTAGCCTGTGCCGCTCTACTGTAGCTTTGAAACATGCAAGTCTCTCTGCTACAATGACGTTGGCACTAAGACCTTTAATCGCTGCCAACTTCTCAGAAAAACTAACAACTATCTATCTAATTCATATCCTCAGCGTACCAGCCCTGTTATCACATGTTAATTCTTTGGCACCAGAGGTAATAGTCTTAGTATTCTATGTCAACAGCATTATTTATGTTATCTTTTAAATTACTTTATTAATATATTTTTTGTAATTGTCTGTATTAGTGCATATTATTGCTAGAGCAGCATTCCATCCTTCAAAGGAGCTTAGATCTTCTCAGCATTGAACAAAATCTCAGAATAGTTTTTAATGCTCTGGAAGGAAACTATGCACTCTGTTTACTAGCTAATCTGATTCAACTTGCTCACTTTGAAAGAGATTCTACTCTACCTGATGTAATTTTTCCAACATTTACTGTGAGTATCTAATTCTTTCTCTTCTTCTCTCTCTCTCTCTCGTTTACTGTTGTGATTTTATCTCATTCACGTATCTTTATTATTCAAGGTTGTGGTGACTAGACTTCTTGAAAGCTGCATGCATTATGTTATGTTGAAACAGTCACCTTTGGCACATTGGCATCCAGTGTTAGGATGGTTTGCCCAATCTACAGATACATATGCTCAGGAAGCTATGCCCTTAGTCAAGCAGCAGCTTCATTTGCTATGGTCTGGCTCTCTTGTCAAATTGCTCCTTGGTAATGTGCTGGCTGAATTTGCAGAAAAATGCCAAAATGACGAGGAATTAAAAAGTCCAGCACCAACAAATATTATCAGAAGGTACTACTAAGGTGTCCCATTCAAGGTGGGGTTTATCTGCCACATATTTCAATCCACATCGCTTCGCTACAAGCTATGGGGCTTCTATTTCTTGACTAGATAGAAGATAGAGCTTGGCTCGATTTGAAGTAGAGCTACATCCAGAGAAGAGGGTCTAAACTGCCTGGGCTGTTGTAAGTTGCTGAGGGGGTGTCTACCACCTCCTCGCCCAATTTCCAAGACCTCAGCAGCCCAAGCAGCCCTCTTGCACAGATGCAGCTTCTTAGGGGAGCACAGCATAGGCTAGCTGCTTGCAGTGAGGCTATTGATTCAAACTAGTGGCAGGACTTGAATAGGACACCCTGTATAAATTATAAGACATGTGTACTGACCTGAATGTTTTAAAATATACATGTTCTTAAGTCCTTGTTTAAATCTGTTTTCACAGAGCTTTGGAAAACCGTGTCAATAGAGCAAGTTCTGCCAAGAGCTATCGAAAACTTGGAAGCCCTGAATTTACTAAAGTTGCATTAGTGTGCTCGTTGTACCAAACAACTCTCTCTACTCTGACACAGTTGTCTCTTGATATTTTGACAGGTAAATTTTCACTATACCAGCTTGCTTGTGTCATAATTGTGGTTAATTAATTATGTATACTTACCTTTCACAGGCCTATGCTACCAAGATAGAGTTCTACACCACCTGTGGCTATTCCTCTGTTCTTTGGGCCCTAACTGTGGATTGAAGGCATTTTTAGAACTGTTGGCAGTCAATACCAAGTGCAGTGCACCTGAATTTCAGATGCTAATTTTGTTTTGTAACTGCATGACAAACTATGTCACAATTCTGGATGACATGGAAATGTATGATCAGCAAGAACCTTTCAAACTTTCAGACTATGTCACTTTAAGTAATTTCCTCAACATGTTTTTGTATCGCTCCATTTACAACCAACTGATCGGTAATTTAAATACTTTGCCAACTGCTTCTTTATTTTTTACAATATTTTTGTCATCATGAACATTTCTTCTTTTGCAGATCTCAAGTCATTACAATCCAATACTCTGTTTGTTGAAATGCATACTCTTCTTCAAGTCCTGTACAGACGAGATTGTAGACGACGCTACACCCCAGAACAGCATTGGCTTATTAAAGAAATACGTGTGGGCCAATTTATGGCTGATCTAGACAAAGGAAAAAAACCTGTTGTGGTAAGTAACATGTAATTATTTTAAGAATAAACTCCTGAGAAAAAATCTAATCTAACCTACAATATATAATGCTACTTTTTGATTCAGATGCTCCTTCAAAAAATGCCACACATAATACCTCATGATGAACGTGTTAATCTATTCAGAAAACATGTCGCAAATGAGAAAGCTGTGTTTGGTCTAACTGAATCAGCCTGTGCAATATCTGCTTCTCCACAATCTACCCTAATCACAGTACATAGGTATACCACATCTTGTCTATTTTGTGATCTGAACATTCAATTGTATTACTATTACTGATATCTTTTTCTTCTGTGCATTTTATCATTAGATCCCGAATTGTAGAAGATGGGTACAGACAGTTAGCACTCCTGCCTCCTCAAGCTCTGAAAGGAGTAATACGAGTAAGATTTATTAATGAGCAGGGCTTAGATGAAGCTGGTATTGATCAAGATGGTGTTTTCAAAGGTAATCTAATTTCTAAAAAGGTTATACTGTATCAATTTGGAAATGATAAAAGTATGTTTCACATTTAATTTTTTGTTTCATGTTAGAATTTTTGGAGGAAACTATTAAAAGAGTATTTGATCCAACCCTAAATTTGTTTAAAGCAACATCCGAAGAAAGACTTTACCCATCTCCGACATCTTATGTGCAAGAAAATCATCTGCAGCTCTTTGAATTTGTTGGACGTATGCTTGGTAAAGCAGTTTATGAGGTAAACCACTCCTTGTTTTCTTAAAATTTTGTTACATTTTATTGCACCAGTAACTATGCTTGCTGAAAAATTGTACTCTACATATGTTTTTGCTCATTTATCTTTTTGCAGGGTATTGTTGTGGATGTGCCTTTTGCTTCTTTTTTTTTGAGTCAAGTCCTAGGTCATACCCATCAAGTTCTCTACTCAGCAATGGATGAACTACCTTCTTTGGACAGTGAATTGTACCGTAGTCTAACATTTATCAAACATCACAACGGTGATGTAGGTGACCTTGACTTAACATTTTCCGTTGATCAAGACTGTTTGGGCCGTGTTGTTACACATGAGCTTGTTCCTGGTGGCAGAGTTATACCAGTAACAAATGAAAACAAGCAAGTATCTATTGGGCTACCAAAAATATCAGTTGTTTTAAACTTTTAATGTCAACTAATCCTGTATGTTTTCATAGAATCAATTACATTCATCTTATGGCTCATTTCCGAATGCACACACAAATTCGTGAACAAACTGCTGCATTTATTAGAGGTTTCCGGTCACTCATTAATGTAGAATGGTTGCAGCTGTTTTCTACACCTGAGGTATGAGAACAATGTTGTGAAGGATGTATGTTATGGTTGAAGCACATTAATCAGCTAATGTCGAATTTATCCTGTTAAAGTCAACCTCACCCGCGGGCCGGGGCTTAAGTCTTCAGCGGGACAGACTTTTAGAAGCAGGGTCATGTGGACATTAGCCGACTAACAGGCTTCAACCATATTCTATTATGTGCTCTGAATTTGTTAAAAACTTGCTTTTCTTTTTCTTTGTAGCTTCAGCGCCTTATATCTGGTGACAATGTTCCATTAGATTTAAGAGACTTGAGGCGGCACACCCAGTACTATGGTGGTTTTCATGATTCTCATAGAGTTGTTAATTGGTTATGGGATGTCTTAGATCGGGATTTTAGTGAGGATGAACGAGCCCTCTTTCTTAAGGTAAGCTACTCATTTTTTTCTCTGGGTGTAAATAATTGTGCTTTCTTTCTTCTACAACTATAACAATTTCTTCCGTCTTACTTTGTACAGTTTGTAACAAGCTGCTCCAAACCACCTCTCCTTGGATTTGCCCACTTAGAACCCCCGTTTAGTATTCGCTGTGTAGAAGTGGGCGATGATGAAGATACGGGAGACACTATTGGTGAGCTTTAGTCATCTGTTACACACATAGTAGGAAAACTAAATAAATTATCAATGTACTAAAATTATTATTATTTTTATTCCCTGTGTTTTTTAGCCAGTGTCATCAGAGGATTTTTTACAATACGCAAGAAGGACCCCCAGAATCGTTTACCAACATCATCAACTTGTTTTAATCTATTAAAACTACCGAACTATCAGAAAAAAAGCACATTGCGGGAAAAGTTACGATATGCCGTATCAAGCAATACCGGATTTGAACTTTCTTAAACTCTGGATTAGCAACTATTTTAATTGTTTTTCCGGAAAGCAAAGGCTGTAACATGAATTTTCAGAATGAAACAGAAATATTTGCTCTAACTTAATTTTCATAAATGTTTACCAGATATTTGTCAGACTGTGATATTTAGCACTATTATACACCAGTGGAAATTACACTTTTAGCAGTGAAATAAGATGATTGTTATCAGGTTTTTACCTCATTGTGGACTGTATGCTTCTAATTCAAGTTTTTTTTCTAAGTGGGAAAATGTATAGGGGGTTGGGTCGATGGGGTTGGAGAAATGTTTTGTCCAGACAAAAGAGTAAGAGATACTTTCTTTTGTTACTCATAAAATCCATTATAGCAAGTGTGATATACGTCCAGGCTGTACATTTGCCAAACGTTTCATCTTCTCTAGATAAACTTTTTAAAGTTATGTCATGATTGTTCTAGTCAGTAAAAGTGAGAGCAAATCTGTTAGAGGCCATGTAGTTAATTTCGACTTGACTTCTTGTACTACTCCTGTAACTGTTCATAGTGTTTATCATTTTACATCTCATATGGTTAATTGTTTAACCAAAAAAGGATCATTGGGTTGTAATTTAAAAAGAAAAAAAACATAATTTGCCATGCTTTTTTGATTTTCAAAAATGTATGCAATTAGGGTCATAGGATAAATCACATGATTTGAGGAAAGGACATTTTGTAAATATTTTGGTCTGACTGTATTATTGAAATTTGAATGTATGTCTCGCTAGCTGACCAAAGATTTACTCTGGCAGAAAATAACTTAAATGGCTTTGCTGCATATGCATGAGTAAAGTAGCCATTTGAATAATCGCAAACCTTGTTTCATTTTACTTGTGTTTCTAAGTGTTTTATACAAGGGGAAAATGTTTTCCATGTTTCCTTTGTGTGATTGTGTATGGTTACTGCAATGTACCGCAATGTACTGA